GAAATGTGCCCTACACGGTCACCGTCTCTACGGGACGGTTTAGGTCCGTTGGGACCGACCAGGGGTGAAAATATCAGCTGTATCTCGGAGCCCCGAGATACAGCTGTATCGCCGAAACGAAGCTCCGCCTTCTCCCCCAGCCTGGCAGAATTATTGATGGGACAGAAATTGAGGTCACCCCTGGACAGATTACACCCAAACTATAACATGGACATACTAGTGGACTCGACCAGCAAATGCTGGTCCTTCAACATAGGGCAATTAGTGTATGCCCATAACTACACAGGGGGAGCACATGGGTGCCAGCACAAATAGTGGAAATCACAGATCTTACTGAGTAGAATTAGAGGACAGTAAGATTTGGAGCAGGCATATTGACCAACTCCGAGGATGGCTGGGCCACACCAGACCTGGGCAAGAAAACACTAAACCCAGCAACCCGACACGGAAACACAATACCAGCCCTGGCAACTAGAGACACTAAAGACCAATTTGAACAAACCCTCAGACTAGCCTCAAACCTGAGTGGGTCATGAAATAACTTAGCTTTAGAAGTAGGAGTCCAGCGGGGTACTTCTGAGGCCTCTGGGTCAGAGGAGCCAGCCACGCCTCGGAAGAACTTTGAGGTGCTTCCACAGGCTGGCTCCGGAGAAATGGCAGACCTGAGTACTCAGGCCACCACCATGGGGACAAATGAGCTACGCAGGTCCAGTCACACCCATCGAAGCCCCGCCTACTTGCGTGACTATGTATTAGCCATGGGAGCTGATTGGGTGAGACCCTTCCAATAGGGGAGGGGTGTTAAATATTCATAAGGAGTGGAGTCTGACATCAGATTCCACTCATTGGAGGAGGTTACCAGCGGGAAAGTTGAAGCTGCGTCAGTAGCTGAACTGTCAGACAGCTCCAGCTTTAAAAAGCTGGAGCCCGCTGCAGTTCGAGGCTTTTTTATGGGATCTTCAATAAAGACTGAATTACTCATCTTGCATATCCTGCCTCTTCAATTGACCTACTAATTCAACATGAGAATATTTCATTCTTCTAGGAGAGGGGTGGGTGCTAACTTTCTACAATATCCCCCCTTTTTGCCAAAATATGTGGGTGAAACACACATGTTATTGGCAAAAGATTAAAAATTGATCAGATCAGGGAGACTTGATGGGTGCTTTTAATTTTTCTGATGCAAAGGGGAAGGCATTGATAGAGAAAAGGATTCCTTCAGTGCAGAGGTGGTATTCAGTAGGTTCTGACCAGTTCTGGAGAACCGGTAGCAGAAATTTTGAGTAGTTCGGAGAACCGGCAAATACCAGCTCTGACTGGCCCTGCCCCCATCTATTCTCTGCCTCCTGAGTCCCAGCTGATTGGCTAGGTCTTCTTTTGTTGCCCTCCACAGGAGAATGGAGCTGGAAAGTTGGTTAGTGGGATGGAGAGGGAATGGGATGTTGTGGTAACCTTCCCCTGGAGTGGGGTGTGAATGGAGATTTTACAGTATCCTTCCCCTGGAGTGGGGTGGGAATGGGAATGGAGATTTTACAGTATCCCTCCCCTGCCACTCCCACCAAGCCACACCCACCAAGCCACACCCACCAAGCCATGCCCACAGAATCAGTAGTAAAAAAAATTTGAATCCCACCACTGCTTCAGTGGCTCCCAAAAGCTTTCAACCATGAAGGTCTAGCAGCCAGGGGAAAAGTTCTGGAAAGAAATTTACAGTATCCAACTTTCCATGCCAATTATTTTTAGAGGATAGATATCACTTTCTGTGAACTTCCAGTCAGGTTTCAAACACAAGTCCCAAAATTCTTCACAGCCTGGTTGTCCTTTAAATTACAGGCTGCCCATTTCCAAGGGATGGTTACTAAACCTGCCCTAGCTCTTAGTTTTGTGAGGCCAAATTGAGGTTTGCCATTGTGCAATCCAGGCTATTAAGTATTTTTAAAATTACACACAATGAGCCCTGGGACACCTACTCATGAGACCACCAGTGCAACATATCCTGCTTTACTGGGCAGCATCATTTGTGAGTCACAGTCAGAGCTTGGGGTTTGGAGATCTCTTTTCAGCTATTTCTTCAAGTGAGGGAATTGCCTGAGGGGGATGCCCCCTCCCCCATGGAATTAGCAGGGGGATATGACTGCTTGAGCCTTAGTGCCACAGAGCAAAAAAAAAACCCACAAAAACACAAAAAAGGGAAGCTAGGAGCAGCTTTGTGCGGAGGTAGGTGAAGGGTGTGGTAATATATTTTATTAATCATTTTATCATTTTCTGTAAGGCCTTTGAAATACTAGCAAGAGGTCTAGGGATATAGACATTCTTGGTGGGGGTAGGAGTACCTTTGCTCATGAGTGTCTCATCCTGTTTTGATCTGCAAGTTTAGAAGGAATAGGAAAATAGGTAAAAGTTCAAGGTACACAGTTGTGCTTTCTCATGGGACTTTCCAAACTTTCCCATGATACTTTCCGTGGCTGTATGATCTCATCCTAGTAAGGTAACATCTGGGACTTTCCAAGATTGTGTGTTCTCATGCTGGTGAAGTAATCTCCTGTTGAGGTCATTGTTTCTGAATATGCATACTGTATTTTTGCTTGTGTTTTTTCTCAATAAATACTGCTACCTGAGTTCACTCAGGGCTGGCATTTTCTCAGACATTTCCCTGTGTCTCATTTCGAATGTCAGTCCACCATAAAGGGGATGTCTGATTCTGAATGGTGTGTCTGTGTGTGTGTGCTTGTGTATGCACCTAATTTTACAATACAGACAGTACAAACATGCTAGACAAATTTCCCTCCCACCAGACAGAACTCCAAGGTGTTCAGAATTTGCTGTGCCAGTCACTCTCACATACAATCCTTACATGAGTACATTAAACTGATTACAATATAAATGAGACAACAAAGAAAACATTACAATGAATTTCCACCCTCCCCCATAATCTTTCCAGCTGTCTTCTGGGGATTGAAAAAGAGTCTTTAGTCTTCACTGGTCCATCTCAGTATCGTCTCCTTCATGTCTCTGGGTGGCATTAGGCCTGGCCTGGTGGTATGGCTGGTCAGTCAGGCTTGCTGTTTCCAAATGTTGTAGAGTCATTTGTGCAGGGCTGAAAGACATAAGAACAAGGCCCCCTCCCCCCTTTTGTGGGTAATGCATTATCCCAGGAAATGCATTGTTTGCAGAATAAGAGATGGGGTGGTGGTGGTTGTAGATAGCTTGCAGGCAGGGTTTGAGAAAAACAACAACACATCAGTATTGCAGTTACTAAACAGATAAACTGGTAACAATGTGGGGATATCACAGATGAGAAAAGGGAGCTGGATTCACATGCTTCAGGAAAAAAGATGAACCATTTAAACACATACATTAAGTGCAAGACTGATTTTTTTCTGTAAACGAACTTAAAACATTCCCTCATAACCTTGGGTTGTTACTTTAAGGTACAAAGAGGGAAGGAAGAATTTTAACAGAGGTTTTTCTTCTCTCTCTTTTATTCTTCTTCACTCAGTTTTGTGGGCCCAACAATTTGTGGGAACGAAGGCAATTTCAGCCAGTTTACTCTTTTCTTTCTTTGAACAATTTAAAATTCTTGTCTTTTTTGGATTGGAGACATTTTACAGTTACAATTACCTTGAGGGCTCACAAAGACTTAGACACACATATACACACAAGGACCAGAAAACAAAACAGAAAAGGAAAACAGAACTCTCAGGTTTACACACACACTGGTCATTCCCACCATAAATGTCAGTTAAATTAGGGAAGGCACAAATCTTAACAAACATACCACGTAGTTGTAAGGAAGACAGAGAGGAAGAGAGAGAAACAAACAACAAACAAAACCCCCAACATTCCTATTGATATATTTCCCTTTTCTTTTAAGTACCTTTATTTAGCCAAATTGGTTTTCCAGCTTCATCCCTGAGCAATCCTTTTTCTTTTTTTCTTTTTTTCATGCCCACCTGGACAGGCAACTGCCTCTTTTAGTCGAAGGCATCAAGCAAGTCTTTCATTGGGTAGCCTACCATGACCCTCAAGCTAGAGCATCCCATGTTTTCCCTCTGATGTAGGGATTCAATTTGGCTCTGCCAGTTCCCAGTGAACTGAGTCTCCTAGTGAGACAACTGCCCCGCCAGCAGTTTTTGGACCAAAAAGAGATCCAGGAGGACTCTGGTTCCCTATCAGAGTATGGACACCTCCTGTTAGGGATTCTCCTGCCTAGCAGTTTTCAGACAAAAAAAAAAAGGTCTGGGAGGACTCTACTGCTCTCTGCAGTAAGTATGGACACCTCCTGTCACCGGCTTTTTCCTCACACACAGTTTTAAGACTCAGGAGAGTCCTGAATGACCTCTGCTTGCTTCCAGAGGTAAGAGCCCCTTCCTTTCACAGGGCTTTGCTCAGTGACTTCCCAGCTAGTTGCCCCAGTTCAACTCTCTCATTCACTTTTCCATTCCATTTCATACACTCTCTCCTTTCCCTAACAGAAGGTCCTGTACTTTCAAAATGCTAAACAGAACTTTTTTGAAAATGCAAATAAGCCAGGAAGTTGGTTGGCATATAAATTGAAAACAGAGAAAGAGAAGAAATTGATACATAGGCTGGTAGATTAGAAAGGAACTTTATACTACCAAAATGAGGATAAAAAATAATTCAAGATTATTATGAAAAGCTGTATGAACAAGAAAAAGTTTCAGAAGAGAAAATTAAAGAATATTTGGAAAAAGCGGAATTACCTAAAGTACCAGAAAAAGTAAAAAAATATGTTAAATGAATGAATATAAATGATGGAATTATCAGAAGTGATCAAGAGACAAAAGAATAATAAAACACCAGGACCAGATGGGCTTCTGGCAGAATTTTATAAATGTTTACAGGATACTTTAGGCCCATCTATGTTGGAAGTTTATAATGAAGTATTGATTGATGTGAAGGTACCAAATTCATGGATGGAAGCAATTACTTTGATTCCAAAAGAAGATTCAGATTTAATGCAGATAAAAAACTATAGGCCCATATATTTACTGAACGCTAACCATAAAATATGTGCTTCAATAATGGTAGAGTGACTAAAAAGGTTTCTAAATGAATTTATACATTCAGATCAAAATGGCTTTTTGCCTAAGAGACAGATTAAAACGGGTGGGATTCAAATTTCTTAACAACCCGTTCTGTGGCCGTGGCCTAATTTGTGGGTGTGGCTTGGTGGGCATGTGACTGGGTAGGCATGGCTTACTGGCTGGGCGTGGCTTGGTGGTCACATGACCAGCTGGGTGTGGCCAACTCAACATCACTTCTTTGTCCTAATTACTGTTTTAAGTATAAAAAAAACATACCAAAACAAAGGTTAGTTTATTATTTCATGCCTTTAACGCTTAAATAATAAAAAGGTACACAAACCTAGATTTTGTTACAACAAAGTTTTAAAATATTAATCAAAAACTATTACATAACATAAAACTTTACAAAAAACAATCAAACTGTTATTTAAAGTATTGTCAAATTGCTTTTTTATTGGCATCCTCGCAGTTTTCTTTCATTTGACATGAGCATCATCAGCTGTGTGATGTGCTCGCAACCATTTTTTTTACTATAGGAATAGGGTCCCATTCTTGCAGAGGTAGGCCAATTAGATTGATAGTCAGCAGGTTCATGACATTGGAAACCGTTAGGCGACTTCTGGTCTCTGAACATATTATGTTCATTTGTGAGAAACCCCTTTCCGCTTCTGCTGAACTAACTGCAATAGTCTTGACAATATCTCGAGCCTTTTTAATGCTGCCAGGAATTGCATATTTCTCTGAATCTTTTAACACATTTTCTATGAAATCGCGATAATCATTCATATTAATTTCATAATGGAAAATTTCACCAAATGCAACCAATTGTTCTTCAGATGCTTTCCATGGAACCACCACTTCTTCAATGTTCCAGTAATCTGGCTCCAAATAATTGAGAAATTTTAATTTATCAGTGTCTTGAAATTGGCTACCTGTTTTTAAATGTTCGCAATCCATCAATCTTTTCTTCAAATTAGTTACAATGCTTTCTACAAGTCTTTCATGAAGAAGTCCCACAAATCGATGATTTTGTACAAAATTTATATTTTTAAAGGTTTCTGAAGTAATTAATCCATCAACCTTTTTTCATATGCACCTTTTTCCTTTGTAAGCATTTCAAATGATTTAATCGATCTTATCACAAGTTTTTCAGCTTTTTTAATGTCTATGTTTCTCGCTTGCAGTGCATTAGAAAGAAGAGAAATTTCAGTTAGGATATCAATCATCAAGGCCAAATCATTGAGAAAGTATGTGTTTTCAAGATGGGCAGCCATACCTGAGTATTTTTTATTTGAACGAAAAAACTGATGTAGCACTGGATAAGCATGCCACACAGCTAGGGTTGACCTTAAACTACAGGCAGCCCATCTTGATCCAAAAATCCTACCAATCTTTATAGTTTCAATCTCAAGTTGTTCGGAATAGGTGCAAACTGGTAGAATCCCACCCCTGATTTAAAGATACCAGCTGGTCTCACTCACCTCACAAGATATCCTAAGGAAATCATCCAGATTGAAGGAAAGATCACATGCCTCCCAGAAAGGCAGTAAAAAAATCAGTGCCAAGTTTGCATCCTGCCTCTTGGAAGTACACCCCAAAAGGACAGTGCCAGATACCACTAAAGCAGTGAAGGAAGACCCCATTCTCAGATACAAAAAGAAACCATGAGGCAGGAAAAAAATCAAACACAATAGAAATAATTGAATCACAATAGTAGCTGTTGCTTGTTAAACCAATTATCAGAACAAATAAACACAGGAACTAGCCAGATTTCTCAACCCAGTTTCTTTTCAGGAACAGAGACTAACCTTTTTCCTTCCAAACAAAGCTGAATAGGGAAAATTATCCCATCAATAAACACAGCATTAAAGCTCACCAAGCACAGAATTAAACTTGACCAAAAATCAGTTTTAGACCAAAACTCAGAAAGGGTATGTAAACTCACGTTTGAATGTCAATTTTCCTAGCTAGCCATGAAGCCTTGCTGAATGTCACTCATCTTGGTTCTTTGTCATTAAAAGCTTCTTTCCAGCAGCTCTGCTTCATTATTCAATTATTTCTTCAAAGTGCTAACTCCAACAGGGGAGTATTTCCTCCCGACAACAGTGTAAAAAGCTTAAAACAATCCTTCCCCTTTAAGAAAGTCAAGCTGTGTGGTTTCCAAATGAAATGGCTGTGTATATGTCAATTTCAGGGTCCACACAAGCAAAGTACCAGCAAAGGAGAGGAAAGAAAACCTCCATAGAAGTTCCAGAGACAGGAAGTCTAGTCCTGCCACAAATGTAATAAGGGTTAATGGAGAGGCAGTTTCTGTAAGCAACAACACCAGAATGTTTCCTTCCTGCCTTCCTTACAGGATTGGTCATGTAAAGTGGAAAAAAACAAAATGAAATTTATTCTAACAACTGGTTCTCCAAACTGCTTAGAAAGTTAACAACAGGTTCTAGCGAATAGGTGTGAAGCATTAGAATCCCACCCCTGATTCTGATCCCTGGGACTTTTGAAAAGTTTTGGATTTGATAATACAATTCAAATTAACGAGAAAGGAGAGAGATAAAGCAACAGAGACATCTATTGGTGGAGAAAAACACAGAGAGGGGAAAGTTGTGGAAAATTTGACCTTGAATCCCTGTGGAAGTTAATCCTGTTTGCTACAAATAACACCTGCTCCAGCAAACTGTTTCTATGGGACAGCAGAGACAGAGAGTGAATCACTGTAACTTTCTAAACAGTGTAGCTCTTTGGACTTATATGAAAACTAAACAGAGAAAGTAAACAGAAGCTGGGAAATAGCAAGGAAGTTCTATCTCTCCTTTCTTTTTCTTCTCCTGCCTTTTTTATCTTTCCTGTTGGAGACTTATGAGTTTGTGTGGTTGAACTGTAGGGCTTGGTGGGCCTAAGTGGATTACAAACTTAATAAGAGAAGAAAAGACAAGTGTTTAAAGAACCTGAAGATTAACAATGTTCTTTTTTTACTGGACTACAATAACAGAAAGTGTGGGAATACTTGGAGACAGAGAAAAGGAAATTGGAGGGGGTTGAGGATCTCTTAGGATAATACTTGAGCTATCACTGACAATCCCTTTTAAATATTTTGAAGATTTTAAGAACATTCAAAATGTCTAGCACTTCAAATTTAAACAAACCGGGGCTGGGTGGGGGGGGGGGGGGCATCTACGCCATCATCTGCAGCAGCAGCAACATCCAGCTCAGCAAATCAAAGATCTTTGGATAACATATTACAGCAGGAAAAGATAAATATGATGCAGGCAGAATTGAAATTGATGCTACAAACATTTCAAGAAACTACAGTAAAAAGCTTTGAAGACATGAAGGATAGAATGGAAAAGATGGATGATAAAATGGAGAATATTCAACAAATAATAACCAAAAATGAACAACGGATCCAGAAAATAGAAGAGAAATCAGAACAGAGAAAAGATCAGAAGAGATGGATAGTAGACTTATGCAGGCAGATCAAAATCTGGTTAGAACAGTAATTATGTTGGAAATGGATAAAGCTGAATATTTCCTGAGGCTCCAGAATATTGAAGAAGAGAAAGGGGAAAACCTTGCAGAGATAATGGCAGAATTATTGGTGGAGGCTTTGGAGGAAGACAAACAGGTGGTGCTCTCTGGAATGGATGAAATATTTAGAGTATATACAAGATATGCATCAAGAAATAAACTTCCCAGAGAGGTACATGTGAGATTTACTAAGAAGGCAATAAGAACTGAAATACTTCAAAGGGAAGGAATGAACCAACGAAATACAAAAGGAGAGGGGGAGGGCGGACCTGGCATCGTGGCGGTACGACGCACGATCTTGAGGCTCCAAGATCACCGTCGATATCCCCGCTGTTGGATGGTCCCACCGGACCTAAACTGTCCCATAGAGACAGTGATAGAGAAGGGCACATCCTGTCGATCCCAGGGACACCGCAAAGTCCCTGGTAGATCCAGGAGAAGCCCTTTTTGCCAGCAGCAGAGAGGCAGCCATTCAAGCTGCTGAAGCTGGGACAGCTCCGGAACGGAAGAGATTGGGAAGAAAGTGTGTCAGTTTGGTGAGATGAATTTCTACTTATTATTTTTTGGAGAGAACACCCTAAAAGACTCAAAGTGAAATTAAAAGTGAAGATAAAAGAGGTCAAGCGGCAAGACTGAGCTAAATTTAGACTGAAGGGTTTTTTTTCCTTTTTATTCGAACTTGGAATTTGGTTAAAGCTTCACAATTTTAAACTGGACTGGTCTTTTTCCTTAATTTTTTACTTTTTATATAATCTCCTTGAAAGTCTCTTTTGATTAGGACTCTTCTTTTTTTTTAGCTTTTTATTTGAGGTTCACGTTTTTCTTTTAAAGACTTTACTGCCCCCTGTAGGCCAAAAGGAAGAACATTGAACTGGAAACAACCCATCGGGCAATTAAAAGCGGTCTTCCACTCATCCCCTTCTTTAATTCGGATTCGATAATATGCTTCTCTCAGGTCCAATTTCGTGAAAATTTTCCCTTTAGCCAGGTGGGCCAACATGTCCTTCATCAGGGGGAGGGGGTACACGTTTTCCATGGAAATAGCGTTCAGGTTTCTATAGTCGACTACCAAACGCTTGGAGCCATCTTTCTTTTCACGGAACAACACTGGGGCCGCTACCCGAGGCCGAATGGGTTGGATGAAACCACGTTTCAGATTTTTATCAATAAACGATCTCAGCTCTTCCAACTCCTGTGGTGTCATCGAATACAGCTTCAGTTTCAGGAGCATCACCCCCGGCAGAATTTCAATGCTACAATCGGTTGACCGATGAGGGGGGAGCTCATCTGAAGCCTTTTCGCTGAACACTTCTTTTAAGTCCCAATATTCTTTCGGAATTTTTTCCTCCCCCTCCAAGCTTT